TTTAAGCCCAAGTTTTATTCAGGTACGAGCTCTCCCTCCTCTGCGAGGACAGATCTACACATCCCCCCCCCAATAGCTAGCAATCCAAAACAGTTCAGTGGAGCCTGAGCGGTGGGTGTTGCCTTCTGACACACTTCCGGTGATGTCAGGGGGTGTGGCATATGCAAATAAGTTATGCTAATGAGCTCCTGCACCTCTTTTTCTACGAAATGACCCCTGCATAAGTCCATATTGGCCGTTTCCCACCTCAAGCAGTGAAACAGTGCTGTATTAACTAGAAAAGTGCTAGGAGGAGAAACAGCAGAATGCAATAGAGAGCCAGCAAGCTCTGCTGCTTGAACAGCTGAGAAGGAAACTATTGTGTAGTGGGTTGCCGCGTGGACGAATGAGGGACTAGGATCCTAGTCCCTATTGTTGTGCCGAACTGAAGCTCAGGAGTGTGCGCTGGCCTCCGGTGGTGGTCAGCGGACACAACAGAAACAATCTGTAGTCTTGGAACAACTCCACAAAGGAAACAAAATCACCCTGAAAACTTTCCTACATTCTCCTGTAACAAGAGGTATCAGTCTCCAACAGCTGGAGTGTTTCAGAGACCTGCCGTTGATAAAGGCAAAACAGTGTGGTAAGAAGACCAGCGCAAATGGTTGGGTGATTGACAGAATGGAGGATTTCTGGCTCCCATTCTGAGAGGATTCGCTTCGATAGCCCTACAGAATTATGCGGCCGAAGCAAAAAGAAATCCGGACTTTATGAAGACATTCAATCAGAGCTGGTCAAAACCCAGTCCAGAAATCACAGAAAGAAGGACGTTGGCAACAGGACCATGGCAAAGGACCTAGTGGAAGTTGTTGACATGTCTGGTTGGTATTTCCACATGAAAAATATTGGAAAGGTGATAAAAACACCTTTTGGAGAACCAGCGGTAGTTATGACCAAAACAGAATCTTGTTATACCACGTGGAGTAAGAGAGAAGCAATCACTTGTGAAAGAAAACAGATGCCATGGGTAAGCGTAAATTTGAAGGGAAACATGGAATATAAGAAGAGCCTGCTGGATCAGACTAGAGGGTCCACCATCCTCTTTCGCACAGTGGCCAATCCATTGTCCTTGGAGGCAAACAGAGCATAAAGGCTGAGGCCAGGCTCGTAGCCACTGGGGGGGGGGGCTGACAAGGGAGATGCCCCCTCACAAACTGCCCTGCCTCCTCATTAACCAGCCATGCCTCCCCCCCCAGTGAGGTGTGAGCCAAGACAGAGCCTCGTGAGCACAGGGGAGAAGCAGGGGAGGCAGGCTGGAGGTGGGGGCCGGTGGCCACGTGCTCCCTCAGGTGCAGCCACTGTAGAGGCAGGGACAAAGGCTGGCCCGGCCTGAGTCACCTGCATGAGCAGGGGGTGCTTGACAAAGCGACTGCCTGGCTTGCTGCTGGCCGGTCGCGGCCCCAGTGAGCACAGGCAACGAGTGGCATGCGCCTTTCCATCCGTCACCAGAGGGAGCTGAGACTTCCTCCTTGCCCCGGCCCCAGCCTCGGCAGGCGTCCTCCTCCTCCCTCAGCCGTGGGGTGTGCCACTGCCAGGGCCAGAGGAGCCTCACCTGGCTTGGAGTGGCCACTAAGGGGAGCGGATGAAGGGTGTGCTGCAGTGGCCACACCCTCCGCAGGAGCCGCTGAGCAGGCCACGCCCCTGCCCCAGGAGCAGCCCCGGGGCCTGTGAACATACACGGAGCCCAGGGGAGCAGGAGCTGGAAAGGGGGGGTCTAAGTTGGCTTCCTTGGGAGTCAGCTTCACTGTACTAAACCACCCCTCTGTTGCCCCCTGTTAGATCGCCGCTAACAAAGATCCGGAGAGTGATTTCAACCAAAGTGATCAGCTTTATTGGAGTAACGAACAAGCGCATAAAACAAGTAATAACCAGAACAGATTAACATTGGAACCTTGGTTCCTTTTAAACGTTCCTGGGCTAATGTAGCCACGCCTACTTACAAATAACAACCAATAAGGTTGCTCGGATAAAGTCCAATGAAAGTCCTTCCCGCTCAGGGAATAAGTGTCGTTCTAATTGGTCGCTGAAACAGAGCGACCAATAGCAAGTCCGTTCTGAGGAGCCTTCGTCCGGCTCAAAGCTTCACATGGGGAGTGAATGTGGTGATTCATTAAGCCATTGCAATACATTACACCCCCCTAACAAAGGTTTCTGGCTATGGGCCTGGCTGAGGACCACCACCACCACCACCCCGCTACTGCCTCCTAGCACTGCCATTGAGGTTTGTTGCCTCTGGTTACGGAGACTCTCTTTAGACACTATGTCCAGTAGCCACTGATGGGCCTCTCCCTGAATCTGTCTAACCCCCTTTTAAAGTCATCCGGGCTTGTTGCCATCACTACCTCCTCTGGTGATGGATTCCACAGCTGAATGACTCACTGAGTCAAGAAGTGTTTCCTTTTCTCTGTTCTGGACGTGTTTCCCAACGATTTCATTGGGTGCTCCCAAACTGCAGCATTATGGGAGAGGGAGAGAAAGCTCCCTCTGTCCGCCCCATGTATAATTTTATAAACCTCGATGATGGCCATCTTTTTTCCTAGACGGAAAAGGCCCATCCTTTGCTCATAGGAAAGGTGCTCCGATCTCTTAAGCATCTTGGTTGCCCTTCTTTGTACTTTTTTCGGTGCTTCAGTGTCCGTTTTGAGATACAGTTAGCGGGAGTGTGGGGAGCTGCGGTGGCTCAAGTGGTTAAGACGCTGAACTGCAGGCTGTGGAAGGTCAGTAGTTCAGCAGTTCAAGACCCGGGTGCCGCATGACGGAGTGAGCTCCCGTCTCTGGCTCCAGCTCCTGCCAGCCTAGCAGTTCGAAAGCAAGAAATGGCAAGTAGATAAATAGGGACCGCTTCAGTGGGAAGGTAACAGCATTCCGTGCGCCTTGGTGTTTACTCATGCCGGCCACATGACCACGAATACGTCTTCCGACAGTGCTGGCTCTTCGACTTTGAAACGGAGATGAGCACCACAACCCTAGAGTTGGACTCGACTGGCTTTCGAGGAAGGGAACCTTTACCTATGAACAACGCAGGGTCCACTAGAAGACAGCCCCTCCACTGATGTCCAAGTCTTTCACGTCACTTATTACCTGATCTTTTTAACTAGAGACATCAGGGATTGAACCTGGGACCTCCTGCACACCAAGCAGATGCTCTGCCACTGAGCCACGGCCTCTCCCCTCACCCTTGGCCATTTTTAACAAGCAGACAAAGGAAGGAAATTATTAGGTAGCTCACCTGTAAGAGACCGCCAGCTGTTGATGTTTCTGTTTATCTGCCAAGAAAGAAAAACCAGAGTCATTATACTTGCAGAATACACAATGCTGTTGTAACGATTCCTTGTTTCTGTGTGTGTGTGTCTCTTTAAAAGTTTGGTTGCATGGCTGTGGTAGATAGACTAGAGTGGTTGAAAGGCAAGTGTGGTATGATTGGTGGTTGACAGAGAGGGGGAGGGGCTTTGGAAGTGAATCTGGTTGGATGAGTATGTGAGTCAGTCAGTAGTTTCAGTTAGATGTTGACAGTTGATGTTCAGTTAGTTAGACAAGCAGTTCTGTGTTGAAGCAGTTATAAACTGACAGCTGCGGTTGTTCAGTGAGGAAACAGTAAAGTAAAGTTTAAGTGACCAACAGTTAAAGGAAAGTCTGAGGGTCATAACAAACGGGAGAGAAACAGTGAACACATATGGCATTGAGATAAACAAGTGTTACAAAGTTACATGAAAAGATCCCTGTCAGTGAGGGAGAAGATTGTGTGTGATACCAAAGCAATTGTTCATCATTTACACATTACTAGTTACATTGTACCACCCTCTTATTTAGTATTTGTTTCAATAAATCCTCTTTTATCAAAGTTTATACCAGCTCTGAATGACATACTTCCCAGGACCACATAGTTCCTCGTGAGCCTTGAACTCGGTCTACCAAACCAGTAAGCAAAAGTAAAAGCATAAAGGTTTGGAAATCCTTAAAATTTCCTGGTGGCAGCAGATTCTACCCAGTTAAATAAAATACAGAACACTTTTAAAGTGAAACTAGTCCTCCCCAATAAGGAGGACGTCACAGCTGTTTTTTCTGTTGCTAGTGATCACAGAGAAGTACTCCAGAATTTACTTGCTGAGGACTAAGACAGAAGGAGAGGACCAGAAGCTTGTTTTTTGAGATACTTAATTTGAAATAATAAAAAGACGTCCAAGGAACGAAACAGCATTTAAACAGGAAGTAGTATCAACTGAAGAAAGGAACCTGATCAGGGGAAGGAAAAATAAAACACTGTATTCAGCATGAGAATCATATCTCGTGATAAATGAATGGCTAACGGTTGCCAGGGCAAAGAATGAAATGGCAGAAAAGAAGACTGACGACAGAATCTGGGAACAGGGGGGGAAAAGGAGAAGAGAGGCCAGTAGCAGAAAACAAACCAGAAACGAGAGAGAGGATAAAATGAAGCTTGCCTGCCGAAGCCCAGAGAAATCGCCAACAGTACTGAAAAAGCTGATGAAAGATCAGAACTCTGGTAAGGGCATGAAACTTAACTGAAGGAGATCATTAGTAAGGTAAATTAGACCCTCACTAGGTGCGAATTTGTGACACGTAGGGTTACCGGCTCTGGGTTGTGGGTGGAGCCTGGAGAGGGCGGGGTTTGGGGAGGGGAGGGGCCTCAACAGGGTCTAATGCCATAGAGCCCACCCTCCGAAGCTTCCGTTTTCTTCAGGGGAACTGATCTCGATTTCCTGGTGGTGGGTTTTAATCCCGGAAAATTTCCAGCTCCCACCTGGAGTTTGGCCACCCTATCGCTAGGAGCAATCGACTTATTTGAAGGGCTTTCAGTCTGCATTAGTTTCGCCTGTCCCATGACATCTCAAAGGCAAAAGAGACTGACGATGTAAGAACTCTCTTGGTCTTAGGGGAGAAAGAAGGCATTTAAAACAAATGGGACTTATGCTGCAGAGAAGAGTGAAAGAAGACATTTGCTTGGCTTTGAAGGGACCTTTTGGCCTCCCGAAAATGTTAAGGCTGTAATTGTGCAAATGCTTTGCGCAGCCCTAACATAAATCTCACCACAATGGCACAGAAAAACAGGTTTGATGAGCTGAATAAACTTAGATGGAACGGAATGTGCCGAACAACAAGTCTCTTGCAGCCCAAAAAACTCTTCCTCAGGAAGGAAATGAATCGGTTTACCTTAGAGAATTTTGAATGTCAAGGAATCGGCTTTTGACATGTCAGAGAGTTTCTCAGGGATACATGTCCAAAACGTTACTCGCACTAATTAATACAAAGTTTGAGTCCGGTGGCACCTTTAAGACCAACAGAGTTTTATTCAAGGTGCACGCAAACTTCTTCAGGCACATTGAAATGGAAATTAACAGTCCATACATCTAGGCAGACAGTGAGCAGCAAATTAGCATGCAACATAATGAAGACATTTTAACAGATACGAGGACCAAAAGGGAATAACAAACTAAGTTTATATGATCACCGTTTGTTTGGATTTAATTACGGGGGAAAACACTGTGGAGCAAATAAATATATCAAAACAGAAGAAGGAGGAGGAGGAGATTGGATTTATACTCCGCCCTTCACTCGAAGTCTCAGAGCAGCTTACAATCTCCTCTCCCTTCCCCTCCCCACAACAGACACCCCGTGAGGTAGGTGGGGCTGAGAGAGCTCCTCTAGAACTGCTGTTGCGATAACAGCTCTGAGAGAACTTGTGACTGACCCAAGGTCACACCAGCAGCTGCATGTGGAGGAGTGGGGAATCAAACCCCTTTCTCCCAGATAAGAGTCCACACTCCTAACCACTACACCAAACTGGCTAATAGGAGAGTAATGTGTAAATGTATCCACCTTAATAGTGGAATGCTAGGAGTAAATAACTGAGACCCTGTTGTTACGCTCCATTCGACTCCTCTCAAGCATGGAGGTGTGCTACTTTTCTTTGAGGTGGGGTGCAATGTTCCCTCTAAGCTGTGGATTCTTGTGAGCCAGAATTCTACTTTGTGAGCCAAAGAGCTACTAGCATTACAGTTGTGTGAGCGAGCCTACATTTGACTATCGCAATAGAAGAAGAAGAAGAGATTGGATTTATACCCCGCCCTTCACTTGGAGTCTCAGAGCGGCTTACAAACTCCTCTCCCTTCCCCTCCCCACAACAGACACCCTGGGAGGTGGGTGGGGCTGAGAGAGCTCTGACAGAAACTGCTCTTTTTTAAGGACAGCTGTGCCAGAGCTTGTGACTGACCAAAGGTCACATCAGCAGGTGCAAGTGGAGGAGTGGGGAATCAAACCCGGTTCTCCCAGATTAGAGTCCGCGCACTTAACCACTACACCAAACTGGCTCTAGGCATAGATCCCCAAATGCTCCCGTTTCCTAGCCACCCCGCCCCCTCTAACTCCAGCCTGTCCGACTAAAACTCAAAAATGGACAGCAGAGCTGCCCCAATTGCACAAGAAGCCCAGAGGGGAGGGACTAATGCTTTTAAGGAGAGCTCACTACCAGTATCCCTTGTGATGTTGCAAGGGACTTAGGGGCACACCTGTGAGATGATCCTGAGCTGCAGCTCCTGAGGGCGTGAAAGTAGAGCTGGGATTGTGCCTAGCAGAAACAGCTTCCCCCCTCTCCAAACCCCACACATGGCTTTCCTGTCTAGCCCAAGGCCCAGCGGTACCCCAACACATCAGCTGCGTGCCTCTTTGTACAGCCATCTCCACCCCACTCCTTCCATCACCCCCTTTTAGGCTGACCCACAGCCCTCCTCAGCTCCCCCCCCCCATTCAGAAGGGCCACATTCAAGGTCCTCCTGCCGTCTCCCTCCTCCACAACACCCGCCTCAGGGCTTTGCTACTGCAGCCAACCTTCTCTCGTGCCAACTCCCTGCTCCAGCCCACTTTGAGGACGCCACCCCCACTCCAAAATGGGCCTGGATGCTCCCCGGTGAAGAACAATTTGGCCCCTCTGGTTCATAACGTGCACCCCAGGGATTTTGGCGTCACCAAAGGACCTTCTCTGCACCTCAAGAAGAAGAAGAAGAGATTGGATTTATACCCTGCCCTTCACTTGGAGTCTCAGAGCGGCTTACAAACTTTCCCTCCCCCTCCCCACAACAGACACCCTGTGAGGTGGGTGGGGCTGAGAGAGCTCTTGACAGAAACTGCTCTTTTTCAAGGACAGCTGTGCCAGAGCTTGTGACTGGCCCAAGGTCACATCAGCAGGTGCAAGTGGAGGAGAGGGGAATCAAACCCAGTTCTCCCAGATTAGAGTCCGCGCACTTAACCACTACACCAAACTGGATCAGAAGGTGCACCCCTGGGCTGGGAAAGTGGGAGGTTTCGGGGCTGCTTTCAGGTTTCGGGGCTGCACCCAGACAACGCAATCACCGGACCTAAGAACATCAACTGCACCATCTCAGGCTTATTCACTTGCTCATCTTCTAACACTGTATATGCCATTAAAGGCCAACAATGACCTTCGGTTCTCTGCATAGGGCAAATAGGTCAAACCCGACACCGAAGGATAAATGGACACAAATCTGACTTCAAGAATCACAGGGCTGAGAAACCTGTAGGAGAACACGTCACTCTTCCAGGACATTCAATGGGTAACCTCAAAGTAGCTGTTTCATTGCAATGGAACTTCAAGAACAGACTGGAAAGAGAAATTGCTGGATTACAATTTATTACCACACTCGGAACAACCCCCTCCCCCAGGACTTAACAGGGATATTGGTTTCTTTTCTCACTACATGTGTTAAACTCCTCCAGACCTTACATATGTATTCTCACCAAGAAGGGCTATATAGCCTCTTTATTTTAGTATATTACCTATTTGGAATAGTAGATTAGAATAGTGATTGTAATGTAATACAATGAATATTGGAATGTTATTTCTCTGATCTGGTGACAGAGGAGACATAAACTGCACAGCCATCCACCCCCACCGCAAAGAAAAGTATGCTGCTAGTTACCTCCATGCTTGAGAGGAGACGAACGGAGCGTAACAACAGGATTTCAGTTATTTACTTTCAGCATTCCTCTATTAAGGAGGATACATTTACACATTAGTCTCCTATTTTGACATTTATTTGCTCCTTTGTGTTTTGTCCCATAAGTAAATCCGAACCAATTATTATCGTATAAAATTAGCTTGTTATTCCTGTTTGGTCTTTGCTTCTGTTAAAACATATTCATTATATTGTATGCTAATTTGCTGTTCACAGTCTGCCTATATGATGACCTGTTAACTTCCATTTCATTGTATCTGAGGAAGTGTGCCGTGCACACAAAAGCTCACACCCTGAATAAAACTTTGCTGGTCTTAAAGGTGCCCCTGGACTCAAACTTTGTTCGACTGCTTCACACCAACACGGCTGCCCGCCTGGGACTAGTTAATACAGTATTTTATTAACTAATCTCTGCACGAACATTCAGAACACTGGCATTCAAGCTAAGGAACTGGATCCATTGTGCAGTTCATGGAGACCCAAAGGAAAGTAGGGAGAGGCAGGGCTCTTTTTGTAGAAAAAGCCCAGCAGGAACTCATTAGCATAATAGGCCACACCCAACAGCAGAAACTCATTAGCGTATTAGGCCACACCCCTGACAGCACAGCTCATTAGCCCATTAGGCCGCACCCCCAAGTTACCAGAAGTGTGGTCATCCAGCCACACCCACCTTTTGCTTGTTATTCTGTTTACCTTGTTTGTTGTCCAAACCCAGGGCCTTTTTTTGTAGCAGGGACTCCTTTGCATGTTAGGCCACACACCCCTAATGTAGCCAATCCTAATGAGTCTCTGCTGTTGGGTGTGGCCTATTATGCTAATGAGTTCCTGCTGGGCGAGGCCAACTTGGGAGCCAGCCGGAACTCCGTTCCTGTGCGTTCCTGCCCAAAAATAGCCCTGGAAGGAGAAAATTCAGGAAGGAAAGATATCTGTCTCTCTCAAGAATTGCTAGGGTCTGTCCTACTTTAAAAGGTAGCTTTCACACACAATAAATAACACACTTTCAATCCACTTTGCTTGGATTTTCCTGTGTGAAATGACAAAATCCACTTGCCAGCGGTCTCTGAAGTGGATTGAAACGGCATTATTCAGCCTGTGTGAAAGTGTGAAACTGATATTCTTTTCTTCAGTGTTGATGGGAATCCCATCACCTCTCTGAATTTTGGAGGTCAGTTTGCTTGTCTTTCCCTTCCTGGGCTGCATGGAAGAGGGTATTTGGGTGGGTGGGTGTGCTACAGGATCTATGCCTCCTGGTGTGCATCCCCTTCTTTTTTTTTTTGAAGAAAAAGCCCAGCAGGAACTCATTAGAATAATAGACCACACCCAACAGCAGAAACTCATTAGCATATTAGGCCACACCCATGACAATACAGCTCATTAGCATATTAGGCCACACACCCCATGTTACCAGAAGTGTGGTCATCCAGCCACACCCACCTTTTGCTTGTTATTCTGTTTACCTTGTTTGTTGTCAAAACCCAGGGCCTTTTTTGTAGCAGGAACTCCTTTGCATGTTAGGCCACAGACCCCTAATGTAGCCAGTCTTAATGAGTTCCTGCTGTTGGGTGTGGCCTATTATGCTAATGAGTTCCTGCTGGGTGTGACCAGCTCGGGAGCCAGCTGGAACTCCGTTCCTATGCGTTCCTGCCCAAAAATAGCCCTGGATGTAATACTTGCAGCAAAAAAGACTTTTTGCACAGCAGTTACTGATTCATTACTATCAGGTGAAGCATTTTTCCTTCCAATCCTAATTCATCTCCCCATCAGGATTCCTTTACCTTTCTTAGCAAGTTTACAGCCCAGCATGTAGGGGGGAATGAGGGTTGGGGGGGGGACACCCTTCATTGTACACTTCTCCAACCTGAATCTCCTGTTTCAGGACACTACAAATGTTTAGGACGTTAAGCAGGCCAATATCACCTCACCCACTGTAAAATCTGATGTCAAACTGCCCTCGACAGTACATGGTTCCTAGAAAGCAATGAGCACGCTCGGTCCTCCTGAAACATTAAGAGGAGAGAGGGGTTTTTTTTCATTTGCGACTTATTTTCCCCCTGCTTATTTGTGAAGGTGATAGTCTGTGAATCACCCTGTTCCTGTGAACGGCCCTATTTTGCTTTCCTATAAATTGGTACAGGATGAGATGACTTTGTAGAAGAAGTGACCTTTGAGAGGCTGACAGGGCAGTCCTATGCAGAGGACAGTGTCCGTAGCAGGGGGGAAAATTATTTATTTATTTGTTTGTTTCACTTTTACCCCGCCCTCCCCGCTAGGCAGGCTCAGGGCGGCTTCCGAGAACTGACACGCAGTATACATTCATAATAGATTATAAAACATCAATTAAAACACAGCAATCAATATAAAAGATTCTTGAAAACATTCATTAGATGGCGATAAAACTAAGGTGCAATTTAAGGACACATTCGGCAGTACCGCCGCATTAGATCGTATAGGATCAGAGCTCACTGCAGGGCGCAGCTGGTAAAACGTCGCTCCTTTCAGAATGCCTGCCTAAAAAGTTCTGTTTTCACGGCCCTGCGGAATTGTGACAAGTCCCGCAGGGCCCTGATCTCGGGAGGGAGCTCGTTCCAGTAGGACGGAGCTACAAACGAAAAAGCCCTCGTCCTGGTTACCATCAACCTGACTTCCTTAGGGCCAGGGAGGGCCAGGCAGTTTTGGGATCCTGATCGCAGTGCTCTCTGGGGAACATGCGGGGAAAGGCGGTCCCTCAGGTAGGCTGGTCCCTGACCATAAAGGGCTTTAAAGGTCAAAACCAGCACCTTGAAGCGAATCCGGAATGCTATTGGCAGCCAGTGCAGAGTCTTAAGCACAGGCTGGATGTGCTCCCACCTGGGGAGGCCCATCAACAGCCTGGCCGCTGCATTC